TTTCTTACATAGACAACAAGATTATTTCTATTCTCCAAGCCATTTAATTGTGTTTTTACACACAGATATTATCTGAATATAATGAGGAATGCTAATAAGAAAACCTTCCTGACATTCTTCTCAGACTAGAGAGTTTATGGGCCAGATGCTCTGCAGCAGGTAGATGGAGAGCCTGTTTCCCCCACTTCAACCATAGCAAAGCATGTTCTAAGTTTTGCAGACTCTTCTGAGTGGACCGACATTTGTGACAGTTTTGCTTTTTCAATCTGTGGGATAGAGAAAAGAGCATTCCTGGTGCAAAAAAAAAAGGAGGAAGCTGTTCTTTTGTAATAGAAAGTATGTAACAAGAGGAAGGCAAGGTAGACAGGATACAGTCAAGCAATACTGAGTTACAGAAAGTGCAAGAGCAAAAGGAGATGGATGCAGAATAGCGTGATGTTGTTTGGTGTCAAGCAGCTTGGAATGATGCCGCAGTGTTGGTGTAGTAGCTGAGTAGCTGGTGCTGCTTAGAGTGCATTAGTGAGTGATGTGAAACTTGGGACTGGACCAAATCACTTCAGCTCCTTTGCTGATACTTCTCTGAGAGTAAACGTTTCTTTATCAACTGCCAGCAAAGTACTCCACATGATCTGAGATCCTGTGGAAGGTACTTATGTATTAGAACAGAAACTAAGAGAAGCAGAGAGGGCCAAGTGCTCATGGATCACAGAGTCAGCTGGAATAGCAGTTGTTTAAAAATGTTACAAGAAAAACGTGGTACTGTTCTTTGTTTAGTGTTCAGCCTTTATCATGAGTCAGGTGAACTGAGATCTCAGATTGAATACTTTATAGACAAAACACAATAATGTTTTAATTTTTCTGGTTTAGGATATTATCCCAGATATTAAATGCTAATCATGGATTAGATGCCTCAGTAGTACCTTTGACAGATAGAAATCTTGTGAGCCTCTTCTGAGCCAGGGACTTAGGCCTATGCCGGTAAGATGGACCCAGCTGAAATGAGTAAGATATAACTGGAATTCTAATGCTAATTACTGTACAATTAAATTTACTTCCAGAGAAACTACCAGTTTACCACTTCAGTAAGCTTCTTTGGTGACGAGTAATTGGCACATCTGTATATTAAAGGAAAAAGGCATATGAATGAACTGTGGGTATGGCAGAAGATAGTCAGTTGTACACAGACTAACAGAAAGGCTCTTTTAAAGGAGTTTGAACCAGATAACAACAGAAGAGGAGGTTTTGCTCACTGTTCTCCTGTGGTTGTTACGTAGTCTTGGTGCCACACTCCCCTTTCTCTTTTGTGCTGGTTCTCATATGCAGGGGGTGTTCTTCCCTGCTTTACTTTAAATTTTCACCTTGGAACAAAAGTATGGAGTTCGTTTGTTTGTTCTCTTTAGATAATTTCCTGTTGGTCTGGTGAGCTTAGCAAATGGTTAAACAAATGTTAGAGCAGGACAAGGATGTGGAATGGAAAAGTAGGGGAGGAAGAGAGGGTGTAAAATTGGATCATCCTGTTTTGTGAACCTTAGCTTTATTTTGATTTACCCCCAAAAGATATAAAGGGACTTAAGCTAATCAAATAGCTTAACGGGAACACACTTTTTAAGAACAAGGGGCTTTTCAGTCAAGACTTTCCAAGATCTGTTTGATCTTGGAAATCAGGGTTCAGATTTAATTTATCTGCCACTTTTTCTGTTGAGGATTTTTCCTTAACACACCAATGCAATTTTTCTGTGAAGATTGAACATACCCTCACGCTGTCAAAAGGTGCAGAATTTTAGTGCAGAAAGACTGTAGCAAATTCTGTCGCTAGTAATGTGCAGTATATCCAGGTACTTGGTAACAGAGGACCTCTCCCATCTTAAAAACAAGTCTTTTCCCACTGTACTGAGCATTGGTTTTGGGTTTTTGTTTTTGTAATTTTACCCTTATTACCATTTGGGAGTACAAAAAAAAAGAAAAAAAAAAGAAAATATATCTACCATAATTATGTAGCACTGAAGTTTTAAAGCAAATGCTGGCAGATAGATGAGCACAGTCTCTAAATCAGGGACTGACAGGAGTGCTGAACGGGCATTTAAAACAGCCTGGGGAGGCTTGACACCAGCCCTTGACAGGGTGATATTATCAGTGTGCTGAAACCAAAGAATTGTGGCTGAGGGCTGTAAGAAATGAAGTTACATTTTATTCCTCACCCTTTGGTCATGATTCCTTCCTCCAGCTCAAAATCTTGGGAGAACTGCAATTTGTGTTTTCCATTTCACAACTGTCTGCATTTCAAAGTGATCCAACCTTTCATTAACCATTACAACATGGTACAAATGCTAGCAGTGAACATTTCAGATGGTGCTTCCCTGAAAAATATGGACTTCTATTTTTTTCTTTTTACCCAGGAAAACAGTCAAGAAACTGTCTAGTTAAATGATCTTGAAACACAGTCAGATTTTTTCTTAGGAGAATTTTTAAGTGACTTTGAATGTCTGTACAAATTCTAAGAGTTTTAGAATACCATTTTTACTTTCTAATTTTAGTGTCTTTTTTCCTTTTGTTCTTGTGTGGAAGTATCCACTCACATGGTAGTAGAGTGCCTGCTAAGGTAGACATTGCAGTGAGACATTGAAATGGTGTATATCCACAGTGGTATCAAAACCAAGAATCTAAAAAAAAACTTGAACAAATAGACATGTTTTTGTTTCTTTGGGTCTTCAGTTACAGTAATTATTAAGAGTTACAAAAGTTACAAAACATTTAATTGTGTTACATATAACAACAGTAGTCTCGGATTTTTCATAGAGAAGTGCAGTACTTCATTTCTATATACTCTTCTAAGGGAAAAGGTCAAGACTTAAAGTTATTTGACTCAAGTAGTAGAAGACTACATTCATTCTCAGACAGTGCAGCTCTTTCCACAGGAACAGAAACTTGCATATGTATCCTCATTGAGGGTTAACTCTGAATTCCAGATGGGAAATGTGAAAATAGTATTATCTACAGTAACTTCTTTCTTCTTCTGTAAGATATAATTAACTTTAACTCTAGAAACAAAGGGGGGTTTTGCAGAAAGCTATCACAAGGAGTTCTTAAGCACCTGTTCCCTACAAATGCTTAGCTGATACCAGTCAGTTAAGGTCACCTGGATACCCCAAATTATCACCTAATGTGTGTATGGTTTTACAAGATCTCTATTTCCCCCTTTAAAAACAAACAAACAAAAAACAAACAAACAAACAAAAAACAGAAAAAAAAAATCAAAACCAAAAACCAAACCTGCATTTTTAAATGTGAGTCACAACTGACAATTAAGCATATCTGCTTTAGATTCATGAAAGCCCCTCCTGAGAAGAGCAGATGAAGTAAGCGAATGTTTCCACACTGTCCAGAGGTGGGCTTTTGCTCATGGTCCTGTCGTTACCTAACCAAAATATTCTGTGATCCCATGAAGAATTGATGGAACCTGGTAGGATGTGTGAGGTTGTGTCCAGTCATATCTGCTGAAGTCTGTGCTGACTCTTGACTTTTCAGAGACTGAAATCCAAGTGCAGATTTGACCAAAGATAAGTATGTCCGGCATAGATACAGGTACACAGATACAAGTTGACATAAACTTGTATGATATTATGTGTGGGGAAACCTCAAGTTCATGGGCTTCAGTTCAGCAACCTTAAGTTGGGTATCCAAAATTACACTATATTAATTCCCCACAGCAGCCATACATTAAAAGCGGCAAACTAGAAAAAACTTCAGAATTAAATATGCTTGAACATGTTTTGCTGCTGTCAAATGTCACTGTGGTGTCAACATTATTGAAAGCAGACATATTCAGGAGTCTGAAACCCAATCGCTTCTCCCGCTGGTTCTGTAAAATAGGAGCATGTGAGAGTGAAGTGGATGGGCCTGATCTCCTTAGCTCAATGTCTAAATTAGGTGCCTAAAATTAGGCAGTTGTAAATATCCTGTTGTTGCATTCCTGGGATCAGGAATAACAATAATACCGTTCCATTAAGATTGCTACATTCAGAATTAGTTTACCTTTTTTTTTTCCAAAGTCGGAAGAGATTTCGAGATATATATTAAATTTAAATAAAGGAAAGACATGGGACTAAAGTTGTTGTCCAGTCCTCGAGCTTCTCAGGCAAGATGTTGAGATTCTGTCCCCAGGTAATGGTAACAGCACACTGAATATTTTTTGCTTCAGAATATTCCTTTTTTTCTTCCCCAGTCCCATATAGTCACTGAAATATTTTAACTCTTTTGCTCTTACATTCCAATTCATCACATTCCATTTATGATAAACGTATTTTAGGAATCAGATATGCTTAGAAATCTGAGGTGGGAAAAAATCCATGTCAGAACTCATCCAGTCTTCTAATATATATGGAGTGGTATTGAGACTCAGGGTATTCAAGGACTTCTGAGGAGCAGTTAAACTGAAGAAGATGATGACTTGAAGCACTGCTTGGCTCTGCCTGTATAAGGGAAAAAAGGTGGGAGAGGAGTGGAAGAAATTTGTTTCCATCTGTGTCCATACAGTAGATATTTTCAGATGAATCTTGTCTGGTTATGAACTCAAAACAGATAGAACAGTTCCATATTTTATATAGCATTATGAACCAACATATCCTAAAAATCCGTGCTGTGGTTATTGAATATGCTATATAGAAAGGTGGGTTTTCTGTCCCCAAAAGATACAGAGATGAGTCTACTTGAAAAATAAGGAACAAAGCTGGGAATTGACTTCTCTAGCTCAGAAGGTCTACCCATCATTATTTTTGAGTTTAAAGAGGTCCAAGTCATGTTAAATTCTTAGCTGTGTTGTAAATTAAGGGCCCTTTAACTTGAGTGCTTTACCTGTTTATCTTCGAGCACTGAATTATTTTCGAAAACAAGCCCAAATTATCAATTTGAAAATTATTAAAATATGGAAAATAAAAACCTATAAAAAGGGGGAAAATTATCAAATTCTTACAAATAATCCAAAAATAGAAGATGTTACCTTTTTATGATGTGTGTTTTTTCATAAGGCTGTCAAAAATAATGAGGCATGTTCTCAGTTCTGTTTGGACTACTTCCCAGGAACAGTGGCTGTATTGCTTATCTTCTAGGAAGTTAGAGATTCTTTGGAAGTACTTTTTCATGCTGAATGTAGTGCTTTTTAGGATCCATGTTTGAAAGCTGTTCCTGGCTTTTGAGCGCTCTTCTGACAAACATAACTCTAACTCTTCAATTTGCTGATGAATTCCATTTTGGAATTTCTCAATCTTGCTTGTATTCCAAGTACCAACAGGAAGATTAGTGCTAAATAGTTGGAAGATCTGTTGGAGGAGCTCATAGATGATCACTGTGACATTCTTCTCTGTGACCTTGGTAATCTCCATGGGGAATCTGAAATCAATTGTTTCGCTGAGACATTGATGAGAAAAATAGCCACCCATTTTGCATAGAGAGTTCATGTTGTGGTAGATCACTTTGATTCCTTGGAAAAGGCAAACTGTATGTGAGATTTTGATGTACAATGCAAATATAATGCAAACTTGCAGTAAACTTCTCTGAACCAAGATGGTCATGCTGATGAAGTAGTCAGCACTGTTTTCCTTGCCTTTATGCAGATCTGTAAGCTTGCAGTTTCTTGGTTGTCTTCTCAGTGCTCACATGCATCTTCTTCATGTCTCTGAATTTATTTCCTCTGTATGACCTGCAGGGTATTACTCATTCTGTAGGAATTGCGTTTTTATCAGCTGTGATCCTGCCAAGGTTAACTGTTGATTTCAGTTTCAAACAGTTGCAAAGGTTTGCTCATTTCTGCTTTGACTTTATTTAATTGAAAAAAATGCAGGGGAGTCAATCTGGTCAGCCAAAGGACATGAACAGAATAGCAGGTTAGAATCTTGTAAGGGCATTTCATCTTCTCCTGTTCTTATTAGAACACGCAGTCCTGCTTTATGCTGAGAAATTTTACTTTTGTGCTTAAGTTGGCAAAGACTGGAAAATAATCACATCCCCAGCTAACAGATATATGCTCTAAGCAAGTTGTAATTTTATTGTTTTAAAAACAAATGTCCTTTTTGGTGGGACAAATTGTTTTGTTTGGGGAGTGGCTTAAATTTTATTAGCAAAATAACCCTGTTGTTGACACAAGCATTGATTCACTAGGGGCATATGTTGCTATCACAATGTTGGGAAAAGAAGTATATACAACTCTTAAGACAGATGCCTTTTTTCTCCAAAATCTCTGATAGCTCACTGCTCAGACGAGCCTTCTTCTACTTAATCACTTGATGAATCAGCCTAAATTTTTAGGGCTGTAAAGGAAAGCATTCTTTTATGTAAAGAAGAGGAATTCCTTACATTTCAGAGGAAGAAAACTTTTGTTCTGAAGCCTCCTCCCATGAAGACAGGCTTTCAAGGAAATGGCATTTACTTGTGTTGGTAGCAAGCAAACCGTCTTCCAAGACCACCCCAGACAGTCTAATGCTGGAACATGTCTCCCAGTATCTGGCCGATGTACTTCTCTCAATATCAAGTCTTTGGGACAACTTGTAGTAGAACTGCAATAGTCACCAGCATGTTAACTGTAAGTGCCTAAAGCAGTCTCAGCCTTTTGTGATGACAGTTCTGAGACAGTGCTACAGAAGCACTGTGGCTTGAAGTGAAAGTACTTGGTTGGTTCCTGAGTATGCACTAGCAAAGTGCTGTCTTTCTCGGTACTGCTGGCTTCCTTAAGTGTGGTACCAGCTGTTTTAACTGGTTCCTGTAATCAAAGTATGAGAAATCACTGGTGATTGAAAAGAAAGACTGGGTTGAATATTAAGATATGCAAAAGTTACAAGGCATTTAGCAGGCAGATTTGCTTCTTTTCTTGTGGGAATCTTTAAGGACAGCTAAATCTGTATGTGAACCAAAGTGGTTTCCTCACTGAAGTGTGCAGAGTTTAGAAAGCCAGGAGACGTGTCCATATGTAATTCAGCCTGCATAATTACAGGAATATTTTAAAAATAATATGGAAAATGCTGAAGCTCAGTGTGATGGGTTTGCCCTTGGCTGGGGGCCAACCCATGTACCCATTCACTCAATTCTCCCCCCCCCTCCCATCTGAGGACAGGGGGGATAATTAAAGGGCTGAAGGGAAAGAAGGACTCGTGTGTTGAGATAAGAACAATTTAATAACTAAACTACAAATAATATTGAAAATAATAGTATATACAAATATACGAATGAGTGATGCACAGTGATACTGCCTCCCCACCCGATGACGAAGGCTCAGTCTGTTCCCGGCTAATGATCCCGGAGCAGGGAGAGTCCTGAAACCACACTTACGGAACAGAGATAACAGTCCGAGCGTCCCAGACGAAGAGCTGACCGGGGGGAGAGAAGGCCCTGGGAGAACGACCACCTGGAGCGAGATGACCCAGAGCAAAAGAGATCCAGAACCAAAAGGGCTGATCTTCCGGAGGGTCCTCACCTATATACTGGGCATGACATGTATGTGACGGAATAGATTACTGGCCACTTTGGGTCTCAATCCTGAACCTAAGATCAAATCCTGGGCTAGTACCTGGGGCTGTGCTCCCTCCCAGCTTCTCCTGTTTGCAGACAGACAGAGAGGCTGAAAGAACTTGGCAGCCGCATAAACATCACTATTTATCAGCTTTTTTTTATTGCTACCTATTGTGAAGAAAGTTAACTCTGTCTCAGCTTAACCCAGGACACTCATGAATGTTTGATGTAAGCAGCCAAGGAACTCCTAGATGCTCTTGAGATTAGAAAGTATTTTGTTAAAAAAAAAATCCTGTTGATGTTTTGGAGGACTTGTTATAATGTGACAGACTGAAAGATTTCTATGGATAACCAGTTTTTTGAGAAAGCCACAGGAAAGCTTCAGCAGTTATACAGTAGGACCCTACTAATATATTAATGCTCCTATGGTTATTATTCTTGTTTTGCTACTGCTTATTCTAATGCTGTAGTAATATTATGGTATTGTCATAAATTACACCCAGGGATCTTCAGAGAAGTTGATTTATTAATGAAATTATGGGGAGGATGGTTTTGTATTTGGAAGACTGGACAGAGAATCAAGAAGGCTATGGTAGATTTAATGGATTTGCCACAGATATCCTTTTGTGAGACACTGAATTATTTCTCTTTCAGTTCTCAGGTTTTTTTTTAAAGACAAGGTCGTTATATTTTCCTTGCTTTTTGTTTGCTGGATCCGTTTGGATTCCTTAGTACATTTAAGATATGTATGGCTTCTGGTGGGTGCAAGGAATCCAAACTTAGTTGGAGGCGTTGCCTTTGTTATTTATTTTTAAATTTTTTTAAGTCCATGCACCTATCAAAATAATTTAAACTAAACTGTAACTAGCATGCAGTGTTAACATGTAGTGTTAGGAAGATCAGAATATGTAACTTAAATTTACTGTAATAAAAGGTTACTGAAGCTTGTACTAGAGGGATAGCCGAGTTCTGAACTTAGATCTATCACAAAAGCTCCCAGGACACAGAATACATTTACTAGTCGTTACACACAGCCTAAAGCACCAGCAAATATATTTTATTTTTTTATCTTGACAGAAAGTTAGTGTAAAAAAAGGCAGTAGAGCATTTATTTTTTTTAACTGAGGAGGTTATACTGTCAGAAAACTCTGTCTTTAATAGGCTTGACTGAGCAGAGTAAAAATAAGTAGCAGACTGAATCAGATCTTGATGCATGGCTGGAAGCATATAGTGAGAGATTAGTTATGTATGCCGAGATTAAATGGGTTCATTCAAGGCATAAAATAAAAATAAATCACATCAGATTCATGTCTAGGTTATAGCTAGAGTAATTTCATTAAGAATGTCTATGCAGTAATGCCAGAGTCATCAGAGTCTGATCCAAAAGCTTTACCATCAGGAACATGGTTTTAATGTCTGGCCACAGTTTTGATAATTCAGTTCAGAATTAAACGCAAAGTCATCTCACCTTTAATTTGGCTCTCTCTTTGCAGTAAAAATTTCAGCACAAAATTTTGATTTGGTGTACATATGCATGGCTCTGTTGCATTAAATGGAACAACATTGACTTAAATCAGGTGAGGAGCAATCCTTTCATCTAATAAAGCAACATGAAAAACAGCTTAGTGTTGCATGGCAAAGCTGGATCTGATTCACTATTAAACAGTTCTAATCTGTTTACACACTGGAAAGCAGAGTCACATCCCCTGTCATCCCTTGTTTTCCTTCCACTGTGATTTCATAGCTGATCCGTGAGCTGTTTGGATGTTGTGAAAAAATACAAAAATTTCAAGCAATAATTAAGAGTCTTTTAGCTGTTACTGGAGAAAAGGAAGAAATTTTATTTTCTCAAAAAAAAAAGAAAAGGCAACAAGGGAAAACTCGTTCACAGTTGCTTCTAGATGAGCAAATTGTAGGTGGTGAAGGAGAGAATATATTCATTGTAGAAGAACCTTTTAGCCACAGGGATCAGAGACCTGTTGGCTTTGTGCTGCTTATCTAGGAACAAATAAGGATGATTGCTTCTCAGGGAAGCTGAGTTGTCTCTACACAATACTGTGTGTAACTCCCCTACTTTGAGGACATCTGTTTTACCCCCATTAATATTATTGTCTTCTAAATTAAAACTCCCTGTCCCTGAAAACACAGAGAGGGAGAAGAGATACACATGTTCCACCTTGTAGTGCAAACCATCCACCCTGAGACAAGTCTCACACTGGCCCTTTCTTAACCCGTTGCTGGCTGTTCCTGCAAACATGGAAATACCTTCTCGGTGGGAACGAGAATGGCATGAATGAGCAAATCAGGAGTTATTAATCTATGCTTTTGTTTCAGTGCTTTAGGTTTTTCTAAGCTTTGCATTACATTCTTTAGTCTTAAACACCTCTCTAGAGTTTGGTCAAGGGAACCAGAATTGCTGGAAGAACAATTTTTTCACTAGTGAGATAGAATATGTTTGGGTTAAAAAAAAAAAAGTCACTCCATTACAGATTTTTTATGTCTGTAACAAGTGTGATCATCAAAACATCTTGTTGTTCTACTCACATAGGTTGTCATGCTTTAGTGAAGGCTAAGGAACTTGGACTGTGGATCCCATTTTGTTCCAAAGCAGCTGAGGACATTAAAATTTTGTGGTTCAGATGGGAGCTGAAAATAAAATTCAGAGGTAAAGCTGAAGCAACAGGTCTAGTACAAAGGACTAGGAGTCAACTGTATGGAACTGAAATCCCAGATCTAAATTCACCTAGGAGATGCCTAGGTTCGAAGTTTCTTTTAGCTTTCCTGTATTTTAACTGCATCTTTACAAGGTAGTTATGCCTAGTTACTGCATACCTTGGGAGTGTTACACAGCTTTACCCAGGCTCTGTGTCAAGGTTCTCCAGGGCAAGCATTATGGGAAGTGCTGAAAAAAGGAAAAAAGTCTGAGGCTTAATAAATG